AGTACCTATGTAGCCATAATCTACTGCAAGAAACAGAACATTGCCAAACCCCCAAAGCTCTTCTTGCCTTTTCTCAGTCACGCTCTTTTTCCAGCCGTCTAGAGGTAATGGTTACCTACCTCTAGACATTTTATAATCACTTTGTGGCTTTGTTTTATATCTTTTCCATATGAGCATGAATCCCTAAACAACACAGAGCAGAGTGACACATTTTAAAATTTTATTAATATGGAATCCTACTTCTTTGGCTTCTTTTGCTCAACCTTATACATTTTTTTTTAAATTTTATTTTCTTACGTTATGTTAGTCACCATACAATACATCATTAGTTTTTGATGTAGTGTTCCACGATTCATTGTTTTCGTATAACACCCAGTGCTCCATGCAGTATGTGCCCTTCTTAATACCCATCACTGGGCTAACCAATCCCCCCACCCTCCTCCCCTCTAACACCCTCAGTTTGTTTCTCAGAGTCCACAGTCTCTCATGGTTCATCTCTCCCTCCATATCCCCCCACCTTCATTTTCCCCTTCCTTCTCCTAATGTCCTCCATGCTATTCCTTATGTTCCGCAAATAAGTGAAACCATATGATAATTGACTTTCTCTGCTTGACTTATTTCACATAGCATAATCTTCTCCAGTCCCTTCCACGTTGATGTAAAAGTTGGGTATTCATCCTTTCTGATGGCTGAGTAATACTCCATTGTATATACGGACCACGTCTTCTTTATCCATTCATCTGTTGAAGGGCATCTCGGCTCTTTCCACAGTTTGGCTATCGCGGACGTGGCTGCTATGAACGTTGGGGTGCGTGTGGCCCTTCTTTTCACTACATCTGTGTCTTTGGGGTAAATACCCAGGAGTGCAATTGCTGGGTCATAGGGTAGCTCTCTTTTTAATTTTCTGAGGCACCTCCACACTGTTTTCCAAAGTGGCTGTACCAACTTGCATTCCCACCAACAGTGTAAGAGGGTTCCCCTTTCTCCACAACCTCTCCAACATTTGTTGTTTCTTTCCCTGTCCATTTTTGCCATTCTAACTGGTGTAAGGTGGTATCTCAATGTGGTTTTGATTTGAATTTCCCTGATGGCTAATGATGATGAACATTTTTTCATGTGTCTGTTAGCCATTTGTATGTCTTCTTTGGAGAAGTGCCTCATACTTTTTTTTTTTTTTAATTCACTCATGGTTTTTTAGTTCCTTGCTTTTCATTATTCTATAGTATTCTATTATATCAATATACTACGGTGTCTTTCTCCATTCCACTCCTGATGGATGTTTGGGTTGTTTCTGGTTTGGGACTATTACAACCAGAGCTGCTATGAGCATTTTCTTATGTCTCCTGGTGCACAAAGGCGGATATTCTGAATGTATATCAAGATGTGGAACCCTTGCTTGTCCAAAGAAAAGAGAGTCCAAGCTGCAGTTTTGGTGTACTCTTAGGGTAGAAAGGAGTTGGCATCTGGGACCCTGTTACCATTCCTGCTCTGGGCTGGGAGCCTGGAAGTTTGTACTGCTCTGAGCCACGGGCCCTGGGACTATTGATATGCTATAGGAGGCAACGGAGAAGGCTGTGATCATCTGCTTTTGGTTGTTTCCTAGGACTAGAGGGACAAGTTTCAATGCCCATCAAGGGTAGAGATCCTGATGGAACATTCCACTCTGGGCTGAGAGCCAAGGGAAGACTCCTGGCAATAGGGTCACAGACTGTACTATAGCAGGAGAGCTGGCAGGCCTCCGAAACGTCAGGCCTTCAACCCATCCTCAGCAGCTGGTAGAAGGAAGTAAACAGTCTGTGGAGAAAGATAACATTATCCTAGGCCTCTAAGTAGTTCTTAAGTTCTGATTCTCTCCCTGATCTTAACAGGCAATTTTCCGCTGTATTGTTAGTTCATTGATGCTTTGATGAAGATGTGCTGTGCTGCGCTTTGTTTTTTCTCAACCTTTTTCATTATCTTCAGTGGACAGTTGGTATGAATCAATTGTATGGCACATGCCCCTATCCTATATGAATACCATAAATCCAGGCTTGTTTCAGATACCTCTGCTAAAGTACCCTGGGGGTTCCCAAGGAATGCTGACAGGCTCTTCCAGTCTCTTTTCATGGTTGCCTGACACTCTGGGATACTACTGTGCCCTTCTGCAGGTTCTCTCTTGCCACATTAAGTCTGTGATCCTTCAGGTGGCTGTGGCTGTTTTGTATTACTTTGCAACAAGCATGGGCATAAGCTGTGGTATGCTAGAGCTGGCCCACATGGATTCATAAGAGCTGATTGTTTAATTTTGAGAAATATTGTGAACTAGTGTTTAAACACAACCACTATTAAAAATTGAATTATATCAACTTACAATTTAAATTACATTAGAAACAAAGTTTATGAATACTCAAAACACATCACTTCCTAATTATTTTACCATGTTTTACTATTTATGCACTTGCGGTTATTTATTATCTATTGGAGATGTATATATATATATATATGGTGGAAATACTATATGATGGTGTACTATGGTACATCTCAACTCCACATTTAGTGATATCACTGCATAAACAGCCATGGGAGAAATATTGACACTATGGAAATTGGCAAATGCTACATATAGGGACTTTTTTTTTTTTTTAAGAGCCAGTTGTTGAATACCTAGCATATTGCAGGATGTAGGATGCCTTTTCAAACCCTTACAGCAGAGTTCAAATGAACTCAAAGAATACAGTTTAATAGGACTCAAAGAATTATAAAAGGGAATTATTATCAATTGGAGACCTTCAAAACTGGTTATTAGAAGTGGTTATTTTGAGTCGTAAGCCTACTCCTCTTGGTAGTACAGTCCCTCATGATGCTGCCTTGTCTAAATCCGAGCTCGGCTATTGATTGGTGGTAGGATTCAACTTCTCTGCTTAGCTTTGACCTACCCTCAAAGTGAATGATGCCGAACAGATCTTTCCTACACAGATTCCAGACCTTAATTCTGAGACACACAAAAGAGGAAAACAATTTCTTTCCCTCTCTCATCTACCCCGCTCCTCCTTTTCCCTTTTCTGTTCTCATTTTTTCCTGCCCTGAGTTTGAACTCCCCCCCCCCAAGATGATTGACAGCAGGAATGTCCTTACTTCCTTACTTCTTCCCATAGGGCTAACCTTGCTCAGAATACAATAATCAGTATATTTCACAGTGCCTGGCTTATTCTGTGTTGAATAAAGCCACCTGTGGAACTTCAACAGAACAGTCCAGGTTGAGATTTGGTCTTAGAAAACTGGCCTTCATTTCCCCTTTCCTTGAACAAATATACACCCATTTCAAGAATAAACAATGACATGAACACAGGGTAATCCAAATCCAGATTTAGCAATAAAGACACCAAAATATTTTCTCTTTGATGTAACCTACATGCAGAGGACATAATTTAATGGATTGCCTTATTTATATAACTATATAGAACCTACCTTTAGCTTCTCTGTTTGCAACATTTGCATTTAAGATTCCTCATTGCTTTCAGAACTTCCCTAAGAAGAACATGTACTTCAGAATATATTCAGAATTCAGCACATCTGCCCACTGGTCACCTGACCCAGCCACCTCCCTCTTCCATCTGGCCACTGTGTTAGCCTCCTAATTGGTTTCTCAGCTTCCACCACGGCCCCTCTTCAGTCTGTTCTCAGCACAAGAATCCAGAGTGATTCTGCTAAAATATAAATCAGATCAGGTTGTTCCTTTGCTCAGAATTCTCTAGTGTCTTCTCATCTCACTTAGGGAATAAGCCATGGTTACCTATATAGGATCTAACTCCTTATTCCTTTGACATCCATTATTCTTCCTATAGGTCATTCTTCTCTAGCCAGTTGGGCTGCCTTGCTGTTCTCTGAACAGATGCTATCTTTCCTTAGGGTTTTCTCATGGGCTCTACTTGCAGTATGGAATGCTTCTGTCCCAGAAACCTGCATAATTTGATAATTTGATCCCTTATTTCCTTTAGATCTTTTCCAAATATCACTTCTTCGTGAGATTTTCTCCAGTCAACCTTATTAAAATTACAGCCCTCTCACATTTCCTATCTTTTCTCCCTAGTATTTATTATCTATTCACTTACTCATATCATATATATATATATATATTCTTATTTATTGCCTGTTTTTTGCCACCATCAGCATGCAAATTTTATGAAGAATTTGTATCTGATTATAGCATGTTGAATTACCATTGCCTAAAACCTAGTACTTAGCACATCATGGATTTTTGACAAATATGGAATGAATGGTTGGATGAATGGATGATAGAGTGGTAGAACAGACATTGGTTATGAGCTGGAGACTTAGGTTTTAGTTTTTGCCTTTGCATGTGATAAGCTCTATAATATTTATTATATTTTGTTTCTACATCTCTATGTACTTATCAACAGGCTGGGGATATAACAACTGTTTCACATGTCTCATTGACTTTTAGTGAGGCTCATGCAAGGAAGTACTCTTTATAAGTGTTACGGGATATTTTAATTGTCTAAATTGTTTATACCCAGTATATTGAGCTGCTAGCTCCATTTGCTTTAAGCCATTCCCAAGAAAAAAACTCTCCATTTGTTTTGTTTGTTTGTTTGTTTGTTTGTTTTTTAAACTCTCCATTTGAACACAGGGTTGGGCTGACAGGTTCATTTGCCACTGAAAACCTGAAGAATGAAATAGCCCACTATGGGGTTTTGGGCCTTCTGTGTGTCTAGTGTTGTGTTGGGTGTTCTGCAAATGTGGTCTCCTTTCATCCCACTGCAACTGTGCAAGGAGAACATGGCTTTATTTTAGAGATGAAGAAGTTGAAGTTTAGAGGGATCTAGTATTCCACTGAGGCAGCAGGGCTGATAAGAGACAGAGCCTGGGGGAGAACTCATGTCTGTCTCTAATATCAAACTCTCATCTATCTCAGGAAATTGAGCTATTAAATCCAAAAACCTAGAAAGGAATATTCTTCTGTGGATGGTGTTTCTCACTGATATATTATTTCTTTTCAGACTGTTTATGACCAGTGGTTTATTACCCTTTATAACATTGTCTACACATCACTGCCTGTTTTAGCCATGGGCATTTTTGACCAGGTATGTATTTTTCTCTGTCTTTATAACTTATTTTGCTCTGTTGATGCTTTTTAGTTGCTTTTAGCTTCTAAGTAGAAAACACAAGTCATGGAAAGAGTCCTAGAAGTTCAGTTGTTTTAATAGGTATTGCATGGATCTAAAACCCTTCCAGATCCTCCCCTAACCAAACAGTTCTCTGATCAAGGTTTAGCTACCCTCCTCTTTGAGATTTACACCCCACATTATTTCCCTAAAGCCTCTGAGACGTCCTACATGAAATGGTCTCTAATTTCATTTTAGTCCAGCATTTCCCAGGCTTATATGACTATACTTCTGTTTATTTATTTTTCATATAGCACCTATTAATATGCCTCAGAACTAGTGCTTTGTCACACACTGGGAAATGCTGCATTAGCCCCTGAATACAGAGAACCATGCAGTGATAGACAGAAAATGATGGAACTTGTTGTTGGAAGGCAGAGGGCCAGCATTTGTGGTGAGATTTCCTTGGCCAGCACAGCCCAGAACAGGAACTAAAGGCCAGTAGAGTACCCTGCCAATGGGAGAGGAAGACATGAAGCCCGATGGCCATGGAGAGAAGGGGCAGTCTTTTGTCTAGCTCAACATGCTTGGGAAGAGAGAATCAGTTACAAAAATGGTGGATCCTTGGCACACTTATTGCCTTGGAAGGTACTTCCTGGAAGGGGGAAGAAGTCTGGCTGCTTAAGAGGAAGTGGAAGGCTAGCTAGAGGAGTTTCCATGGCACAATTAGAATGTATTATTAAAAAAAAATTTTTTTTGGAAGTATATTTGAGGAGACCAGATTTTCTCCAGGCTGTTGTTAGACGTGTTTGCTGGGCCTCATTTTTCTGGCCCAAAGTTAGCTGTCTATTGCAAAATATAAATCTTCACATTATGAGCTCATTCCACTCTCCCATTCTGTGCCTTTGTTAGTTAGTTGTCTCACTTCATATGTGTAAAAAGGGCAGTTTGTGAACGACATATTTTGTGGAATTCTATAAAAAAGTAATGAACTCCTGAAGACCTTAGATATAAAGGATTAAGCACATTCATTTCCAAGTACCCATGTTTATAAGTGTTTCTTTTCTTGGTGCTTTGTAGCTGCCCAGAATGTGGAATAAAATAATAAAGCAGTTTCTGGGAAAAGATAGTTATTGTGCAATTCGAAAAAAATATAATAAGGCCCCTTATTGCCATCAAGTTGAGTGTCTGCCCCTGTCCTTTTCCACTTTGTCAACTTTGGCCCCTAAACTGATCACAGGATCATGGAATGTGATGCTGCAAGGCCTCCATGACTGTCTACGATCCACTCATTTTATAAGGAGGAAACCAAGGCTCAAATCATTGCCCTAAAGCCAGACAGCCAGTGTGTGACAGAACTCAGCCTAATACCAGGCCACCTGACTCAGAGATTGCTCTGCTATTACTATTATTATTATTTACTATCATCATTATTTTATGTATTATTATTTATAGAAGCATCTGTTATTTGTTACTTACGGTGTGGCAAGAACTCTGCTGAATACATGAACTTAATCATGACTATGGTCCTGTGAAGCACCAGCAGCATTTCAAAATGGGACTTCCTAAAGAGACTATGTCAGTGTACTTCATGGGACTGTATTCAACAAGACCAAGGCCATCCCACAAGCAGGGAGTGGAACTTGGTCTGTCCCCAGAGCTCATGCCTGTGTTGCTCCTTTTTTGGCTGCTTCTCCTCTATTCCTGGTCCTCTGATGTTCTCACTGGTCAGGACTTGCCTCATTTTTGGTTTGGGCATTTGGCTTTGGTGCTCACAGTGTGGTCATCAGCATTACTTTGGACCTGGTTGGAAATGCTGAGTTTCAGGCCCTAACCCCCAACCTTTGGAATCGTCATTTGCTCTCCAAGTGATTTGTGTGCACATTAAGTTTGAGAAGCACTGTTTTAGTTTCTCCCAGGACCCTGTTGGGGCCAAACATACCTTCTCATTCTGTTTAAATTTTTTGTCTCGGACAGCTGGTATCAGAATTCTCACTGGGTAGAACACTCAGCTCTTCAGGCTCAGCTTCCTTCCCACTGGAATCCCGCTTGCAATTTCCTCCTTTCCCTGTTCCCCTTCTACTCTCCTCTCACGGTTAGGAACTCAGATTGGCCAAGTCCTACTCTGGAGCTCTCTGCTGCCATCTCCTGGCTGCTACCCTCACAGCCTTAGCAATTAATCCCTGGGCCTCATTGACTGCATGTGATGTACTAGAATTCCGGAGCACGAGTGCAGCCTCAGGAGAGTAGAGGCAAGAAACTTCATTCTGAAGCCAAGGATCTGGGTTCAAATTCTGGTTCTAAGAGCTATATGATCTCTCATGAGTCTCTCTTGGAGACTCAAGCTCCTCTTCAATAAAATTGGGATCATTTGATTATCTCGGTTATCATGGGAATGAAAACAAGCTAATGAATAGTGTTTATAGGGTATGCTGAGACATGTACTTGCTATTTCCCGAGATGGGGAATTCAGGGCCTTTCCAACTTCTCCTCAAGCCTCCTCCACTAAAGTAACTTTGTTGACAGGATGTGAGTGACCAGAACAGCATGGACTATCCCCAGCTCTACGAACCTGGACAGCTGAACCTACTGTTTAACAAGCGTAAATTTTTCATCTGCATGGCACATGGCATCTACACCTCACTGGCCCTTTTCTTCATCCCCTATGGAGCCTTTTACAATGTGGCTGGAGAAGATGGGCAGCACATAGCCGACTACCAGTCTTTTGCAGTTACCATGGCTACGTCTTTGGTCATTGTGGTCAGTGTGCAGGTAATCCTCATGCTGAAGATGGCTTTACAACTTTTAAAATTCATTTTCATTGTTGACTGATTTTGTCTACTTGTTGGGGCGAAATAATAATAATAATAATAACCCTAAAGGAATCTTGGAGGTTTCTTTTAAACTACACATTTTGGGATGAAAACAGAAAGCTTTAATGTAAATGACCAGATGTGGGAGATTTGCATTCAATGTCTATAACCTCTGTGTTAGTAGAAACCTCACAATTAATTACTTCTTGGGGTTGAGTGTAGTATGTAAAGAGAAATGATTATACTACTGCTTCTTTTTGGGTTTGGAAAAGTTTTCCAACAATAGCAGAGAGAAACTTTCCCATGATTTCTATCACTTAATAACTTCCAGGCTTTAAAGTGAGATTTAAAATTTATTTGGTAATACATATCTGTGAAATTATTCAAGAGGTTCATTGTTGTATTTTGGCATATCTGAACCTTAAATTCAGAGAAGCTTTTGTGATAGGGATGATTTTTGATGATCCATTGACCTCAGTGGGCTTCTTGAGCGTTTCTATTTCCTTTTTAATGCAAATGGTAGACAAAACCATTTAATATCGAGTTAGAGTTCACAAAAGCTTTCCTGTTCATTAAAATTTGTACCTCTGGATAGATACAGTAGGCAGTGTGACCTGCTTTTTCTTTTGTTTTCTTTTTTTTCCAAGGAGCAGATATCAGTCAAGGACTTGATTTTTCGGGTTTAAATTGCCTTTGGTCAGTCTTTTTTCTATCCTATAAACAATCTTTTTTACAAATATTAGCTGCTCATTTCCAACAAAGAATCTCATTAAATCCCAGACTTTCTCTTCGTGACTCAAAAATAAACATTATGGTAAGTGAACCAAATGTAAACATATTGCTTTTAAAGGACATTTCTTCCATTCCTTGGTCCATCTAAGTGAGTATTATTAAATCTATGCCAAAGCCATCTAACGCCTGACATCTTGGGAGTTCATAATTCAGAATCAGACAGGTAGCATCCAAAAACAGAACTAGATTTCTCCACTCAGAAAGTTCCTTTTGGGGTGCCTGGGGGGCTCAGTTGGTTAAGCGACTGCCTTCGGCTCAGGTCATGATCCCAGGGTCCTGGGATCGAGTCCCGCATCGGGCTCCTTACTCTGCAGGGACCCTGCTTCTCCCTCTCCCTCTGCCTGCTATTCCACCTGCTTGTACTCTCTCTCTCAAATAAATAATCATTAAAAAAAAGATTTAAAAAAAAGTTTGTCTCTCTTACAACTAAATAAAGCATGCTGTTGCTTTGCAAACCCTCCATGTCTAGTTCCCCTAGGTTCAATTCTGTGGCAGAGAGGGAACTAATGGAGTGACTTGGAAGCATCTTGCAGAGCTAAGATGTTCATTATGATAGTCTATTACTGGGACAAAGTGTATATTACCTTGTAAGAAGCTATTGTTCCATCATTTCTTATAGTTCTTGCCATTATACTGGACACTCCAACCTGTTTTGTTTTGTTGCCTTTTGATCACTGAGCAGACTCTGTGTATACTGTTATATTTCTAGTCTAGAGAATTAGGTGATCTACTCCTTGCCATGAGGGCACATTTCCAGTTCTCTGGATTCTCCTCCTGATGGGGAGGACGGTTGTGGGACATCTTTTTAGCGGTAACAGCTTATTCACCAGGTCAGGCTTGTTAACTGGTACTCCAAGGGATCATTTGAAAGGTAGTAACAGATAAAAAGCCAATATCTAAAGTAAAAAGCAAATGGGAAATATTCTTCAAACTGTCATTAACATCATCTGCTATATAAGTAAGGATAAAATTACGTGGAAAAGACATGAGAGGCATTGCATGTTTAGTGAAACTATTTTTCATAATTCTACAATTTTTGGTTAACGTTATCTTTTTAATTAAAAAAAAGCTTGTTGATATATGTATCTTTTTCCTTGTCCATAATTTATTTTTTTTTAAGATTTTTTTTTTTTTAGATTTTATTTATTTGAGAGAGAGAATGAGAGATAGAGAACACGAGAGGGAAGAGGGTCAGAGGGAGAGGCAGACTCCCCGCCGAGCAGGGAGCCCGATGTGGGACTCGATCCCGGGACTCCAGGATCATGACCTGAGCCGAAGGCAGTCGCTTAACCAACTGAGCCACCCAGGCGCCCTAAAGATTTTTTTTTATTTATTTGACAGAGAGAGACACAGCGAGAGAGGGAACACAAGCAGGGGGAGCAGGAGAGGGAGAAGCAGGCTTCCCGCCGAGCAGGGAGCCCGATGCGGGGCTCCATCCCAGGACCCTGGGATCATGACCTAAGCCGAAGGCAGACGCTTAATGACTGAGCCACCCAGGTGCCCCCATAATTTATTTTCTTATATGCTATCATAGCAAGGCCAGTCTGTGTTTTTATATTGATTTTAGATTTAGAAGCTCTTTCTAAGTACTTTCCCCATAAAGTACACAGTTCTTGTTGGATGTCATAGTTACGTTTCTCCTTTTTCACAAATTGAGAGACCACAGAAACAGTTTTATTTTAAAAACATTGTTTATTCACAAAAAAAGACAGAATTTTTCATTCTGTCTTTTGGAGTTTTCAAAATAAACCAAGATTTCTTACCTTTGATATCATGGTTTTATAAGAATGATACCTGTACTTCCTCAGAGGGGATTCTTCCTTAGGACCATTGATCCCCCATTTGAGATGTTATGGGTGGGCCTATCTGGGTCTATTTGATTCAGGCCTAATTGGCCATGTATCTCACCAAGATCCATTCTCTGCCTTCTGTCTCCTCAAGGGCAACCATTGTTCTGCCCAACTAGCTTTTCTCTAACATTAGCATTACCATCTTATATAACCGCTGTGCAATTGTCAAAACTATGAAATTAGCATTGGTACAATACTATTAACTGAACTACAGACTTGTTTCAGATTTCCTCAGTTTCTCCATTACTGACCTTTTTCAGTTCCAGGGATCCTACATTGCATATACTTGTAACGTCTCCTTAGTCTCCTGCAGTCAGCTTTCTATAGTCTTGTCTTTCATGGATTTGACACTTTTGAATAACAGTGGTCAGGTGTTTTGTAGAATGTTTCTGGGTTTGTCTGATGTTTTCTTAGGAATAGACTGAGACTGGGGATTTGGGGGAAGAATCACAAAAAGGTGATATACCTTCTTGTCACATCCTGTCAGGGAGTGTGTGACATCAGCATGACTTATTAGTGGTGCCGGTGACCTCGGTTACTTGTTAAGATGATGTTTTTCAGGTTTCTCCATTGTAAACTATGTTTCCCTTTTCATACTCTATTCATTAGAAGTGAGTCACTAAATCCAGCCCAGTCCCTTCAAGGGGAGAATTAAGCTCCATTTCTTAGCAGGATTTCAAAGAATTGGCTGTCATATGTTAAAACCATAACAGTATAATTTAAAGTTGATATATCAAACTGGGGCCCAAGATTTGCCCAAGACCATGCAGTGACTGCACTGCAGGTTTAGGAGTAGGATCCTGTAGTCTTATTTTCTGAATCAGTGATTTTTAATAAAGGCATTTGTGAGTGTTCCATGAAAAACGTGGGGCAAGCATTTCCTACAACACAATTACTGCTGGGCTACAGGGTAGTTTGGCGCACTTGGGAAGCAGTAATGCACACACGGAGTTGTACAGGTGGGGGGCTGGGTCTCACCCCATGGTGGCTGTGCCTTTCTTGCCGTGTACAAGCTGAGGTCCTATAGATCTCATCCACATACTCCTGTCCCCTAGATTTCTACTCCACCTGATTCCTCTCTGCCCTCACCCATACCCTCTGCCACTAATTCTGAGTGCTGGAGGGTACTGAAACAGCCGGCAGATTGAGGACATTTTGGCAAGAGAACAAGGTAGGAGAAATCCAGGCTGGAGATGGAGGTCTGGAAGCAGAGTAGGTGTGAGTGAGAATGGACACCAGTTTCCAAGGCGTGCTTTGTTTACTGCTGTACTCCAACTTAAACTGCAGTGTCAGACACACATCAGTTTTTGTTGAATGGATGTAAGGGCAGAAAGATACGAAGAGAGAGATGAAAGTTGAGCGAAGGAAGTGAGAAGAATTCGGTTGAGGTACCCGCTATCCCCCTGTTTCAGGTACATGCCCAACTTATCCCTTACCAAAGCAGGCCTTTCCTTGGTGGGAGCCTTCAGGAACCTGTGTCATCATCACTACTGTGAGTGGCATCATGAATAATGCTTAATCCTCTCAGTGCCACTATTCAGTAGGTATTATTGCCCCCTTTTACAGATGAAGCTCAGAGAAGTTAAGTGACTTGCCTGAGGTCACAAAGTGAGTCCCAGATCCAGGGTTGGAACCCAGACCTCTCTGACTCCAGTGCTGTCTGGGGCAAAGTCTTTTATTCTACAGTAAGGCTGGTTAAAATGCAAGTTTTCAGGATATATGAGAACAAAGATTAGATTGAACATAAAGGAAGATATCAGATACTTCCTTGTCTGTATAGAAGAAGGAAGGGGGGGCAGGGAGGAAGGAAGGAAGAGAAAGAAAAGAGAAAAGAAAGTAAAAAGAAAAGCGAGAAAGAAAAAGAAAAGAAAGAAAGAAAAAAGGAAGGAAAGAAAGAAAAGAAAGAAAGGAAAGGAAAGAAAGAAAAGAAAGGAAAGAAAGGAAAGAAAGAAAGGAAAGAAAGAAAAGGAAAGAAAGAAAAGAAAGAAAAGAAAGAAAGGAAAGAAAGGAAAGAAAGAAAAGAAAGGAAAGAAAGAAAAGAAAGAAAAGAAAGAAAGAAGAAAGAAAGAAAAAGAAAAGCAAGCAATCCTAAAGCAGAAGCACTGGGGTTTGGAGAACAGAGAATCTCTGGAAGAATAAAGAGGAGAGTTTGGAGTTACTGAAAGCAAACTTGGCCCACTCGCCTCTGTCAGGGCTTCTGATTTTCAGAGCAACAATGGCTCCCATTAATTGAATATTTGCTATGCAAAAGAATTATTTCTCAGAAAATCCCATTCTCTCATTTAATCCTCTTCCCAGTCCTCTGAAACATAAATACTATTACTATAGATAAGAAAATAGACTTGTTAGAGTTCAAATCACACAGAAAGTGGCAGGCCAGCATTTGAACACAGATCTGATCTCAGGTCCCCAACTCCAAGTCCATGTGGACCTCCTTTCTTTATAGGGAGAAGTGGGACGCTACAGGGAACCCGTGGTCCACCTCTGTCTTCCACAAGGTGACACCTAGGACACCAGTACCACCCTTGAGTAAAGTGGGAGAGAGACCATTAATAGGTGATAAACACATAGGTCCTCTTTCAACATGAAAGCGTCAACTTGAGCAATGTAGATTCCCAGTTACTGTCGTTTAGTCGTCCACTTATTTTTATTTCTCAGAAGCCCTGAAAATGTCTGCTTTACCATAGAATTCTCAGACCTGAGCTCATAATGTTTATAGCCATGAAAACTCCACAATTTTGGCTTCAATCAGAAACTTCTGTCTTTAATATATAGAATAATAAGTTTCAGGAGTTTTGTGAATAAGCTCACTTTGACAGCGGCATTAATATCCTTTCCTCGCTGTCTAAGCTTGACTTGTCACTGGGGTAACAACCCCCATGAAATTTCCATGGTCTATAATTACAGTTATAAATCTTATGTGTCCTGCTGATGCTATAGGCCAAACTTTAGCAGTCTCTATTTTTTTTTTTTTTTAAATATCAGGTTTTTGGTGTGGTTTTTTTTTTTTTTTTTGGCTATTTGAATTATATAATGCTCCTTTTAACATTTCGAACACTATAGAAGTGTTTAAAATAAAATGAACCACCTTCTTTTTCTTCCCCATATTCCCCTGGTTAACTACTATTAGGATTACCGTAGCTTAACTCCTTCCATATTTTTTCTTTGCTTTGGGACACGCACATATGTATTCAAGAAAAAGCAGCATAGCTAGCATATTATTCTGTAATATGCTTTTCTTACTTAACAAGATACTCTGAACAGCTTTCCAAACCAACACATTCAGATATATCTTACTCTTTTTAAGAGCTGCCCAGAATTTCACAATATGGATATATAATAATTTATTCATCAGCCCTCTATTGATAGACATTCAGGGTGTTTCTTTTGTTGTTACTGTTATTGAAACAATGCTACAATGCATATACTAGTATATAAATTTCATGTACTGACAGATAAATTCCTAGAAATGAAATTTCTGGAATGAGAACCAACTTGTACTGAGATGATGGATGAAGAATGGTATTTTCTTTTTATTGCTAGGTCAGAGAGTATGTGCATTTAAAGTTTCATTAATATTGCTATATTACTTTCCAAAAAGGATTATAGTTGCAGACAAAAGATTTATTAAAAACTATTAGGTAGCTCCAGAATCTTCAGGAGGGCAAATGAACCAGGGAGAACCACAGCCAAGCATAGCACCTCTGGGAGCAACACCCAGCCATATGGCTGCATTGTTGTAGTGAAAACATGATTACTACCTCTTAACAGCTTGGCTATGATCACAGTGGGGTCTGGATGCCAGGTCAGCCACAGATTTCCAGAGAACCACCATGCTTGTCAGATACTGAGAGAAGTGTATTAAAATTTTTCCTTGTGATTACGATTCTTATCAAGTTCTTGTACTTCCAGGAGATTTTACCTTATATAATCTGAGGCTATGTTATTTGCAGTGTAATGGTTCTTGATTGTTATTTGTTCTTTATAGCTTTTATCTTTTTTATGATAAAATGTTCTTAATCAAATTTCATTTTTTTATATTAGTTTTCCTTCTGTGGCTTTTCTGAGCCTGCATATACCTGATATATAATTCAGGCCCATCTTCTCATTTTCATTGCTTTCTTATCTTATTCTTTTGGGTTTTCTCCTTTGATAAGGGAGTTAAACTACTCATTTTTATTGTAGTAACATATATTTTATCTTGCTCCTTTCATGTTACTTTATGATTACTTTAAATTCTTTATATCCATTTTTTCCTTTTCATACTCGGAGGCAACATGATTTTTAAATATCTTATTTGTCATAATTTATAAGTTTTACTATTATATTCCCATTTTACTAGTGATTTCTCCCATTTTCATAGTCATTTAAATCTCTCTTTCCATATTGATATACCAAAATTAAATAATAACTATATCCTTCACCAGTTGTTTCACTGTCTTGTTCCCACACCTTCCCTTCTCCACTTCCAAATTAAATAGTTTTGGAAATGTATCTACTTATTTCTCCCTCCCTGTTCCTACTCTCTGCTCCTACTCCCCTCTTGTATGTTAGTAATCTAGAATTGTAGTTTCATTGTGTTATTAAATGCTCCTTTAACATATGTTTTGACCATTGCATATTTTTTCTAAGTTAATACTGTAGCTCATCTTCACATTATTACTCATTTAGAGCCAACTATACATTATAAGAATCATTGCTCACCACCATTTTTATGCTCGTTCTTCCACTCTTTTGAAGTCTTTGTCCTAATTGAATTTTTATTTGCAGCAATTTCCTTGAGTAATTTCTTCAGAAGGGGACATAGATGTTATACTTTGGAGCTCAAAGCTTTTTTTTTTTCCCTTTACGCTTAAATGATAGATTGGATGGGCATGAGATTCTTGAGTCAGAGACTTTTGCTTTAGTTACTTTGTAAATGTTGTTCCACTATACCCAGTTTTAGTGCAGAGGTTTGACATTAGCTTGATTCTCTTTCCTTCAGAGGTAATATATTCTCTGTTTGGAAGTCTGTGTTCTTTGTCTTGGGGCTTCACAAATATCACTAGAATGGAACTTCTTTCTTTAATTTCCTAGGAGTTTAGAGTGCCTTCTCAATCTGAAAATCTTGCTATTTGTTCACAATAGCAGAGCAGTTTTCTTCTGTCATTTCTTTGATTGCTACTTCTTTTTTTTTCTCTAAGATGCCATTATTTGTATGTTGGGCCCATGGATCTGTAATCTATGGATTTGCCATCCATGTCTCATATTTTTTTGCACATGGTTTCCATTTCTTCAAGTTTTTTGCTCTGTGTTGTAAGATATTATTTCCATTTGTTTTTCCCAGAATATTAATTCAGTTCTCATCAGTGACTATTCTTATTTGGTTTCTCTATTGAATTTTTAAATTCAGAAATAATGTTTTTTTCTTCCAGAATTTTTTTTTCTGTGATCTAATTTCATCCCCTTAAGAATTCTCATTACATTTTTTTTGGTTATAGTGCTTGTCTGTCTTTTCCATTAGTTCTGCCTCAATAGGAGCCACCTGCTCTTTTTTTTTTTTTTCCTTTTCTTCTCTCTCTCTCTTTTTTCAGTTGAGTCCTCTTTAATTGGTTGTGATTTTTCTACTCATACCCACGCAGGTCAGGCTATTGGTGTCTCTTGATGGTGATGAATTGACAGGTGGGGGAAGGTACAGTTGAAGATTTTGGCCTAATGTCTTGGCAGCCACATGAGCTGGAACACTAGCATCTCTTTGCTGAGGATGGATGGGAGGGCTCTCTGTTCTCAGGGCTCTTGAGAGAAAAAAGCTGTCCTTTTATAACCCCTGCAGTTTATATTCAAGCCTGCCAAAATTTTTTTAGTGGGGCAAGATTTTAAAAACAGTAAACTTCAAGTGGGAAGAGGAAGTGTGTCTCCATATGCAGAGAAGGGTCTATTTACTGTGTAAGTAGGACCCCCTCAGACAGGTGAGAAATTTGTGGTCTTGAAGCAGACTCGGCTAGAAATGCAAACCTTCACTTGGACCACTTGGGGCCTCAGAGATGCAAATGTTGCCAGAACCTACTTGTTTTTCTCTGAAAACTCAGGGTTCATATTTGCCAGTGGTATCCTTGCTTCCCTGAGAGCAGGCCCTTTTTAGCTGTGTTGCCACAAGTTATTGGAAGAGAGAAGAGCTTGTGAACATGCTCCCAGGTCACCATGAATCCTCACTTCTGAATTTTACGACAAAAGAGGATTAAAGATTTTCTTTGTTATTAATTAAATAATTTAAGAAAAAGCATCAGCAAAATGAGTTAGAATATTGATGTAAAACAGAGTATGCCTATGTAAAACAGTCATGTGAAAACTTATGTACAGATTATAAAATGTTGCAGTGGCTCACTACTGAAGATTTTTTTTTCAACAGAAATGCTTTAAGAGCAATTTGGAAAGTAACTTTGAAATTAGAAATCATTGTTTTCTTATTTCTCACATAAAAGAAGATTAACATTTTATCTCCTGATTCAACCTTGGCAGCTATAATGGCTTGCAGATATAAGTTCTGAAGTCAGTTGTCTACCAGAAATGTCAGGTCAGTTCCCAGTGCTGTGCAGAAAATAAGAGTGCCTGTGGTTGGCTGGTAGTTAGATAGGTGCAACCATCTCTTCACAGAGCAGTTCTGGGAAAACATCACTCAGTAAAATGATACTCTTTTAATCCTCAAAGCCCTCCCCTTTGCATTTGACTTCATTTACAGATAGCCTTGGATACCAGTTACTGGACTGTCATTAATCATGTCTTCATCTGGGGCAGCGTTGCCACTTACTTCTCCATTTTATTTACCATGCACAGTAAGGGCATCTTTGGCATCTTCCCAAACCAGTTTCCATTTGTTGGTAAGTTGAGTCCTATTATCTATGGGAGCCTAGTGTCATGCTATCATTTATTTGTCTTTGTAATTTATTTTCTGTGTCGGGTGGGACTAAGGATGACTAATAATCTTTTCTCTAGGAATGGAGGGAGCCAGGCATCTGAAGGCTTTCAGGCTTGAGAAGAGTTCCAAAAGATTAGTTTCTGCTGTCCCTGACAGATATAGAAGAATCACTGTGATAGCTGCTAATAGGGTCCCAACAGCCCAGATGTAATTGATTGTCCCTTTGCAAATAAGAGGCATAGCACATATATCAGGGCTACCTGAAGGTCTGTAAAAAACGTGTATAATAGAGGGAAGAGAAAGAAATCTTAGGTTCTTCCTTTTATCCCACATTATCACCACTATCACTGCCAAAGTGCACCTGTAGAACTTACTTGCATTCAGATAGGAAAGAAATGATGTATAATTTAGAGCAGTCTAAGAATTGCTGGACATTAGTCCTTAAGAGGCACAAAGAGTAGCCTCTGTAGTTAGACAGCCAGGGCTCAGGTGTCAGCTCTGCCACTTAAATGCTGGGTGACCTTTGGGCAGATTTCTTTTTCTTTTCATGCCTTGATGTCTTAAATTATAAACTGGAGATACTAATAGTTTCTATTTTCATAGGAAATGTGAGGGTTACATGAGACAATGCATATGAAATGCTTAGCATGGAGCCTGGTACATCGTACTTTTTTAGTAAGTGGTAACCCTAATGATGGTGATGATGAAGATGATGATTCAAGCAAATGTGTCTTGATTACTGGTTGGGAACACAGCAGAGTGATTTGAACAGCAGATGGGTAGCACAGGAATTCCAAAAATACCTTAAAACTCTGAGATTCTGTAATACTACGAAGAGCGTGCATCTGGTCTATGGACTGTACCACCATTGTGTCCCACATTTCAAAATGATTCCCAGAGGGCCACTGAGCTTTACTACACAATGAGGCTATTAATATACTTTCTCAGAAGTTTTGGAGTCTCTAATCTGTGTGAGATAAGTTGGTAATTTGTCCCAACAAACCGGAAAAGGGAGATGCACAGTGTCAACCTTCTTGAGCTTAATCAGGTGAGACTGAGATTTGCATCCACTAGTTAAGGAATTCAGTCTAAGAAATCCAGAAAAATAATTCTTAGAAAACTGATTCATGTAGAATGCAAAAGAAGAGCAACTATAGGGTTATACATTTCCACTGATGCAAAGACACCTGAAATTATAATTCCAATTAAATGCACACATATACTTAACAATGTTGTTCTCCATCTTTTGCCTTGCTTTGCATGTACATGGAAATCTTTACATTGCACCATTCACACTTAAATGTAACATTAACATTTTGTTTTCCAAAAGACTGCAACTATGTAGAAACATGATGGTTATGAATAAGAATAAGCATATTACAAAAGACCTTTAACTATTTCTGGGGGGTTTTTTCCTTTATTTTTCTTTTTATTTTCTTCCTTTCTTCTTCTTCTTCTTCTTTTTTTTTCCTTTTGGTTGCCAAATCTGAAAGTTCAGTGCATTGACAAGAAGATTTCTAGTCCTAAGAGAGCATTTTAGCACGCATAATGAGCCTGGAATGCCTCAACTGGAGAAAGTTGTTTGTGTGGGGACCACTCTCTCCAGCTAAGCACATGCCATTCCAGGAATTAATTACTGAGCTCCAATGAGACTTCTCAAAAGTTAGAGCAACATTGGGGTTTAAGAAAAAAAAAATGTCCTTAGTAACCAGCAGCAAGCAGGAGTGTGGTTTTAAAGTGAAGCTTGTTTTCCCAGCCATGCCTGGGGGTGCTAAGCTTCAGGGAGCTCAAAGAGACATTTTAATTTATTGAATCAAGTTTGTTTCTGCCCAGGCAACTGTAATCTTCTGCTCTTGGTGGGCAGATTCTATCCTCCAAAGCCAGAAAATACAGACATACCAATCAGTAGCCAAGCCCTCATACCCAAAACACATTCAAATGGTTGTTAACACTTTAGCTTTGGGAGAGGGGATGTAGATAATTGGAGGTATTGTGGCAAATCCCTAGAGAGCCAACAGGGACAGAAGTTTATTTTGGTGATATAAACAGGGTTGACATGTTCCTGTAGAATTTGTCTGCTTAACTGACCATTATTGTTTTGTTTAAACAAACATCCCAGTATATGAGGTGTGAGTATAAAGTAAGGAAACCGGCTTCAGGCTTGGGAATGAGTTTCACCACAGTATTGCACTAGCATGTTGGATGACTGCATTAGCAGTCTGCCAGTGAGAGCAATGCTCTTTTCACAAACCCAAGAGTATCTCTGATCTCCTTGGAATCTTGAGTTCTTCATAACCCAGTGAATATCAGAGAAATCAGCAAGTCCCTTTGAGGCAAGTTTTCTGAGGCTGCTGCCTGAGTTGTAAAGGTTGGCCCTATATTAGGTAAAGCTCTGCAGTCACCAAAGGTATTGAGATTGTACCTGCACCCCAGACATATGTTGTATAGTTTTGACATGGCACTTTTATTCAGGAGTCTAAGAGCAAATGTGCCTTTTAAAAATAATGGCTTCTTTGTAGTCAAGGGATCTTGAGGCTCCATGAGAGAATTCTACCTCATGAGTGAAGCTGGACTGAGTCTAGATCAGAGAGCACTTGGCTCTGATTGGCTATCTGCAAGTGATTGGGCCATGAAGTAGTTCCCAAGGGTGGTGATCATACCATTCTTGCCTTCTCATCACCTCTGAATATACTATATACTGTGGAAGACACCTAGTGGTTCTCCCTAGGTAGCCCAAACCTCACCATTTCAAAAAAGACCTTATGGGAATAGACAAGGAGCCTATTTATTCAATAATTCAGTGTATTTTGTATAATTATGTATATTTTTCCTTAATAATAGGAAATGCACGACATTCTTTGACCCAGAAGTGCATCTGGCTTGTTATTCTCTTAACAACAGTGGCATCAGTTGTGCCTGTGGTGGTAGTCAGATTTTTGAAGATGGATTTATGCCCAACCCTGAGTGACCAGGTATGTTGCAGTGCTGATAAGTACTTGAAGGGCTGATTCTTGGCTCTTGGAATCATGTCCTTCTCTGCCTGATTTGGAAGCCCAGGAAAGGGCTAATGAACTTCCCACTGGAAACACCCATAGGTATACATAATCACATACCAGTAAATGGAACTGCCCACATCTGAATGTAGTAGCTTTGTGAATGTTAATGAAGAGAAATGTCTAGACTAAATGTGGGTGGGGAGTCATGAATTACAAGTTAAGTTGGGCATTTCTAAAAGTTGACTTTAAAAAAAGAAGCTGGCAGCATTTTGGACAACTATTCTAAGGCAAAGGCAAACTATAAGGAAAGTTACTGACATGTGGGCAAGTAAAGGATAGAGTAAAAGAGACAAGCAAGGTATGAGGTGAAGGGACTCAGTTTTTGTAGAAGTATGGTAGCAGATTCAGAAACGTAAGGAGATGCTACCTTCTGAACAGATTAAGAAAGGGAACAGCAACATGATGACTAGATGGAAAAATATAAAGTTGAAAGGAAAATAGAACAGATTGTAGAAATCCTTAAGCCAAGGGATTAACAGCCCGGATTTCATGAGAAGAGTAGTAGAAGCAAGACAATGTCAAGTTATGTCAGGACCCAGATAGAAAAAAAGGAGAAAGAAACGGGAGACGCACATTTGTGGTGGCGTCATGAGAAGGGGCAAACACTGGTGGGGTGAGTGACCAGGCCAATGATACTGAGAGGAACTGAGGCAGAACTTCCCTTACCAGGATATCCTCCACATTCTGAGGCCAAAGCATGTGAAGATTCCTTCTGAAATGATTCATAGATTCCCCTGTTAGATCTGTCCTTTTCTTTTGGCTCCGTGAGCTCATTCTGATGTAAACCCAGAAAATGATGGATGAGCTGAAGGAAAGAAGATGATGCTCATTTCTTCCAGTATGTAGTCAGATCATGATCTTCTGCTTTTAATGGCTTTCTCCTGACATGAAAGTCGGAATCTAAGAGATCAGCCGGATTAGAGAACAAGGCAGCTTACACCAAACGTTGCATATTTTTCTCCTCATCTTTACAGGGAAATGAAAGAAATATTGGAAACCCACCCAAATGATGTTGAGCTCTTCAGAAGGCTGCAAAAAAAAAAAAAAAAAAAATCCAAAGGAAGTCAAAACCCTCAAAATCTCATGATATACTGACCTACCACAAGAGTTGGGAATTTCTGACTCTCATTTTCTAAATTTTCTCTTGGTCCAGTTACTAACGACTATTGGATAGTGAGAATGTCCCTTGAGAGGGAAAAGGCCTATTTTGGGGAAATGGGACTATAGATGGTTATACTGACTGTGTTTGGATGTTAGAAGAGCCTTCTGTACAAAACTAAGTTCCTATTCATTTAAGATGGATGTATAAGAAGGACACAGTAATGGAACTTGTCTTAACACTTCTCATTTAATAGTCTCTTGGGAGTAATAAAAACTGACCAGTGCCCATTGTAATCTTTTGGGTGGAAAATTTCTTGTTGTTTTTTGTTTGTTTGTTTTTTGTTTTTGTGAAATGCTTCCTTTTACAATGAAGGTGAGTATTTTGTTATTGTTGATGTTTCTACTGAAAGAGCTTTCTCTTCATAAAGTGGCCCAGGGCCTGGAATCTGTCATTTGGAGGCATCATCTCACTCTGTCTCCTTCCTCTTCAGATCCGTCAGAGGCAAAAGGCTCAAAAGAAGACAAGGCCCTTACGTAGCCAAAGGCCTCAGACTCGCAGGTCAAGCTCAAGAAGATCTGGATATGCTTTTGCTCACCAAGAGGGCTATGGAGAGCTTATCACATCTGGAAAAAATATGCGAGCTAAAAACCCACCCCTAACCTCAGGGTTGGAAAAGACACTGTATAATAGCACTAGCTGGATTGAAAATTTCTGCAAGAAAACCACAGACACTGTGAGCAGCTTCAGCCAGGATAAAACAGTGAAACTGTGAGTCAAGATGAACTTGAACCACATAGTGACTTTTCACTTCAGCTAGAGCTGAAATTCAGCTCCAAAGTTTGGGATCAGGGGCTGGGGTGGGATAGATTGCCTCACGTCATTTAAATCTGTGGCAGACAGCTGCTGGTGCCCACGAAATAGGGGGGCACTGTATGGGAAACCAGGCCAGATGGTCACTGTCTAAGTTGTGATTTGCTGGGCAAAGGCCTCACCATACAAGCAGAAGTTTTCATCAACCTAGGTACCAACTGACCTCAACTTTAGAATCTTATTTGTGGAGAAAAACTTGTAAATCTGCATATACATTGAATGGATCTCCAAGTGGATAAAATGGTGCATTTGGAAGGTATGCATCCCAGCTGTGAAAAAGCATGCTTGTTGACAGACAAACACATGTAAGATCAACCTTTCCCAAGATACATTTTTAAGATGTACAACATATATTATGGTGCTTTCAGACTAAGAGCGGCTTGTGACTCTTTAGTCTTGATATCTACATACCTGTGTTTTTACCCAGGAGAACACATCACCTTCATGGCCTGAAGAATAGAAAAACATGTTGGTGTTCCTCATCTTTTTTTTTACCGGTCTAAAGACAAAGTAGGTTGGAGCATCTTAACAGTGGGATAAGCTAGGAATTTGGTCAAATGTATTCACAAAGCTCTCAGGGATATGTTCATGAAATGTCCAAGAGAGGTTCTCTATTAAGTATTCCAAATACTTTCCAATGACTTTGATAACAACCTCAGTAGTAACTTACCCTGCATCATCCAGAACCATTAATGAAACCAGCATAGCATTGGGATTTCACACTTTAATGATAATATTCCAAATGGTGTATGGGTAAATACATTCAATATTTCCAATTTTAAAAAGTTTAAACAACCTCTTCAATTACTATTTAAATACTCAGGCTTAAGTCTTTCATAGTTAGTTGCTTTTGATATTTAGCTGTCATGTTTATAATTTAAACATAAACATATGTAGATAAAGTTAGTTTTCTGGAGTTGTTCCAGTACAGATTTCCAGTCCACATGTGAGTCACCAGTTTAGTTCCTGTAAAAGAATTCAGGCAGATTTGTGTTCAGACTCCAGCTCTATTACTTCTTACCTCTATAACCTTGGGCAGGTAACGTGCCTCCTCTGAGACTCACTTTCTTCCTCTGTAAATGAGGATATACTACCTACCTCATGTGGTTGTTTGAGGATTATCAAAGCACAAATTCTTAAATCATTGAAACCATAATTCTCATATGAATGGAGTTCCATTTAACTCATCATCAGAATAACAGCAATTTGAAGAGAATGTGAAGAATGGGAATTTAATCAGTAGGAAAGACCTTGATGAAATGAGATTGCAAAGTAAGACATTAAAACTGGTTAGCATCCTACAAAGAAATAAAATTATCACCCTGGAGGTAAATTTCTCTATCAGAAAGTGCAAATAAAACATCATCATGCTTTATCAATTTTCTGTAAGTCAACCTCCAACTTGACAAGGCACCTAATCTGGTCTCTGTTGAATTATTACTCAAAGTTATCTTTCCCAAGAGAGTCAGATGGCCCTTGGGTGAGTTTGATGGATAATAGGCTAGCATGATATTAATAGATGACACAATCCCTTTTATCTTTGTGTTTTTGTTTTGTTTTGTTTTGGGGGGTTTTTTTTGGTCATACTTTCCTAGTCTGGGGTATTTTTTCCTGAATGGGACCAAATAAGATATATGTAAAAGACCCTAATACAGTGTTTTAATCATAGTAAATACTAAGGTATTCCCTTTCCACACATGCCTGCATGGACTTACCCAGATACTAGTTTTCAGTGTCAAACTTGTCATTAGTTTCACTGTGTTTGCTTGCTTTTTGTAACATTTTTGAAAGATTTGAAAACCTTTAATAAATGTTTTGGCACTATTGGTGTTTGATGTTGTGTGTATTCTTTATACACGGGGGAGATTTTTTGTCACATTGGTCAACTGATTTTTTTTTTTTCCCCTCTCCTTCACATGCCTGAGGAAAATGCATATCATTCCTAGGATCAGAGTCAAGAATCAAATGAACTGATTGGACCTCTGTGTGAGGAATGGGAAAGACCAGGTTTGCAAGTTTGCAAGTTCAGTTCAAATTAAATAAGGCTGTTTAAAAAAAGATAATGTGGATTATTGTGAGAGAAACACATGATCAGTTTACTTTGGCCCCATGAGGTCCAAATAAGCTGCCACACCCATTACGAGATCATTCAATTCCAAGTGCCAGAGATTACTTCGAACCTGAAGATAAAGAGCCTGAGGGGTGGGGGATGATGGTGGTGCACTGGGGAATAATAAAATTTTAATTTTACATAAATATTATCCGATTGTTTGAAAAAAAAACTTTCTAGATTCAGGACTGAAGTTGGTAACCTTGTGTTTTAAAGTCTCAGTCCCAAGTTTTGAGGTCTTAGAGGCCATTGCAAGTCATACTTCCTTGACTTAGATCTGCTATCTTTGTGTCTCTCCCCTGCCTGCAGGTGTACATACCTACAAAGGAAAGAAGAGAGAGGGTTGAAGAGAACAAGAGCCATAAAGCAAGAGAGGAAGAAAGGAGTGAAGGGAAGGAGGGAGGAAAGGAGAACAGGATGGTGTCCAGTTATATCCCTCTTAAGGTGATACGACTTTTTGAAAAATAAATTTAATTCCTTAAAGAAAAAAAAATAGATTGTATTTGCGATTGAGAAGTGAATACTAAAACCTCCTTCATAGTTGGTGTGAGACCAAGAAAATTTTATCTGAGAGGGGGCCAGGAACTCTGGCTTCTCCTCACAGCAATACCACCGATTTATGTGAGGCGGGGCCTCCCTGACTCCACCTGACTTCCCCAGGCCTTAGTGTCCCAGTCCATCCACGGACAAACTGGGCAGTGTGGTCACAAACACCTTTCCTCATTCACCCACTATGTGAGCTGTTCTTGCCAGTACTGCCCACAGTGTATTTGCAAATGTTTTTAATTGGAAAGAGAGAAGAGAGACTAGGCTGGATGCTCTCTTGAGTGCAAGGCTTGGGTCTTGTACTGGTTTGTGTTTCTCTAGAACAGCCCCGGGAGTCCTAATGTGTCCAGGTTTCTGTCAGTTCACCACAGAGGTGCTCAACACTGGAGTTGTGTTCTGCCTGGGTCAGTTGAACACACTAAGTTTCTTGCTAAGGATTCACTAAGATCTTAAACCCACACTCACTTTTCCTCTCTGCCCCTTTAAATATCAAAGGTCTGGAGAAACAAGGTAAAATCCTCATGCCCAGTAAGAAGAGGGCCATTTTAAAGGCCTCTCCATTTTGTCTCTGGGCCTAGAGGGGATTCTCTGGGCCTCTGCTTCCTTAGGATTCGGGGTAAAACAACGGAGCCTGAGTACTTTCCTTCATAGTTATGTGGAACCTTCCAGTTTATGCACCAGCTGAAATGTTTCACTTTATGTACCGGTCTGTATATTTACACAAATTGGATATTTTGAGCCTTACAAAAAATGAGGTGAGGTGGTCAGGACGTTTATGGTTCTTTGGGATTTTTTGTTTTGTTTTGCTTATTATTTTAATTGCAGTACAGTTAACATTCAGTGTTCTGTTAGTTCCAGGTGTACAATGTAGTGACTCAGCAATTCCGTGCATCACCCAGTGCTCATCCTGACAAGTGTGCTCCTAACCCCTTCACCTCTGTCACCCCTCCCCCCACCTCCCCTCTGGTAACCATCAGTTTCTGTAATTAGGGGTCTGTTTTATGGTTTGTCTTTTTTTTTGTTGGATTGTTTCACAAATTCCACATATTAGTGAAATCATATGGTGTTTGTCCTTTCTCTAACTTATTTCACTTAACATTTTACCCTCTAGCTCCATCCATGTTGTTGAAAATGGCAAGATTTCGTTCTTTTTTATGGCTGAATAATATTTCACATGAGTGAAATTGGACGGTATTTGTCTTTCTCTGACTTATTTCACTCAGCATTCTACTCTCTAGCTCTATCCATACTGTTGCAAATGGCAAGATTTCATTCTTTTTATAGGTGGGTAATATTCCTGTGTGTGTGTGTGTGTGTGTGTGTGTACACCACATCTCCTTTATCCATTCACGTACTAATGGACACTTGGGCTGCTTTTATAATTTGGCTATTATAAATACTGCTGGTATAAACATAGGAGTGTATATATCCCTTTGAATTAATGTTTTTATATATATATTTTTTAAAGATTTTATTTATTTGAGAGAGAGAGAATGAGCGAGAGAGAGCACATGAGAGGGGGGAGGGTCAGAGGGCGAAGCAGACTCTCTGCTGAGCAGGGAGCCCGATGCGGGACTCGATCCAGGGACTCCAGGATCATGACCTGAGCCGAAGGCAGTCGTTTAACCAACTGAGCCACCCAGGCACCCAATGTTTTTATATTTTTCAGGTAAATACCCAGTAGTGCAATTACTGAATTGTAGGGTAGTTGTATTTTTAAATTTTTGAGGAAATTCCATAGTGTTTTCCACAGTGGCTGCACCAATTTGCATTCCCACCAACAGTGCAAGAGGGTTGCTTTTCCTCCACATCCTCGCCAACACTTGTTTCTTGTGTTTTTGATTTTAGCCATTCTTTTTTTTTTAATTTAATTTTATTATGTTAGTCACCATACAGTACATCATTAGTTTTTGATGGAGTGTTCTGACAGGTGTGAGGTGCTATCTTACCGTAGTTTTGATTTGCATTTCCCTGATGATAAGTGATGTTGAGCATCTTTTCATGTGTCTGCTGGACATCTGTAGTCTTCTTTGGAGAAATGTCTCTGTATGTCTTCTGCCCATTTTTAAATTGGATTATTTGGGTGTTGAGTTGTATAAGTTCTTTATATATTTTGGATAGTAACTCTTTATCCAATATGACGTTTGTAGATTCCTTCTCCCTTTCAGTAGGCTGTCTCTTAGTTTTGTTATTATTTCCTTTGCTGTGCAGAAGCTTTTTATTTTAATATAGTCCCATTAATTTTA